ATGAAACATTATTTATAAAGAACAATTAATTCAAGGATAGTGCTATGGGGATAATTTTTTTAAACCAATTTTTTAATTAATCAAAAAGGATAATGTTATGAATACTAAATTTCTAAACAAAATTTTATAAACTAAATGATATAAAATTTGATAATTACTTGAGTGTTGATATCCGTGTCCATTTTCTATTGGTGATACATGATTTAGTTTACTAAATTTGTCTACAAATTAGTCTCCTAGCATTACTATTACTCTTATTCAACTTTTTATTATTATTTATTTTAATCAAAATTTAATTTAGGGTTAGTTATAAGATTTGGGGTTTCCATTTGACTCCATATGTAAAACCTCCTCTTATGATAGGATTTGTGTTGCTCTCGCTCCGCAAACTCTCAGCCCATACCATACCCCTCCTCCTCCTAAATTTGCTGCTCGCTCTTCAAAATGAGGAGAAATTTTTTCAGGTGACGGGAACACACCTGATCATTACAGGTGATGTTCCCAAGAAATAAAAATCACCCACGTGTTTTTTTATTTTTTTAACTAAAAATTTTTCAGCTGTCAGCACAAAAACCAAAAAACCTTTTCTGTACTGCTGCCATTCTGAATTCCCCTTCTTCTAAGATTTTTTTTTTTTTTTAATATTTTTTTATTTCTGGATTCCTCTTTTCCTTTTTTTCGTCAAAAGATCAAGAGAGATAAAGATTGAAATTCATGGGAGAGGATTCTCTCCGGACCCAACCCCACCGGATCCTCCTTCTTCTTCTTTCTTCTCTGCAGATTTTCATCACCCTCATCCATTTTTCTCCAGCTGAAACACTATTTCCAGTCAACTCTCCGAACTCTACAAATCTGCCTCCTCCTTATGCTTCTTCAATTTTTGGGAGCATAATCTCTATAACTCCTCCACGTATGAAGATTTCAGTTCTTTTTCTTCCATTTTTATCCTCTGTGTGTGTGTGTATATAGGCTGTGTTTTGAAACGGATGACTGGAAATAGTGTTTCAGCTGGAAAAAATGGATGAGGGTGATGAAAATCTGCAGAAAAGAAAGAAGAAGAAGGAGGATCCGGAGAGGATCCTCTCCCGAAATTCATTCCCTTTGTAAGTTTTCAATTCGTCTTCTTCTTTTTCGTTTGAAAAAGGAAAAATCCCTCTGCTCGAACTTCGAAGGAATCGTTCAGGTTGCCTGAGAAAGGCAATGGCCTCCTCCTCCCACATGAACTGGATTCTGGGTTTCTTATTCTTGGCTTGTACTTTAGTGGTGTTTCAGATAAGTTTCAGTCTCTTAGGAATGATGGGTCTCGTCGGCCGATTAGATTTAGGAATTAATTTGTTCAAACAAAGAAACCAAGATCAAATTTGTTTCTTATAATTGATACTAGCATAACTGAATTTTAGTAGAAAATAGTTCTGGGCAGATTTTCAAATTTACAGGGATGAAAAATGAAAGTTTAACGCCATTGTTGGACGGAGCTAAAGTGTTGACATTATTTTAATCATAAATAGAAAGCCACGTGGCTGGCTTTTCCTTGTTCGGAACACCGTGGATTGTATACCTTCCCGTTTCCGTTCTCCATGCCCCAATGCTCTCTTACGTGATCATGTTAAAGCACATTAATATTTTATATTTTTATTATTTTATATTTTATTATTTATATAAAAATTTAATATAAAATATTAACATGATTTAATTATGATCACATATCATAAAAAAAGCATAAAAAAATGATGAAAATAAGAAGGCAGACAATCCACCGCCGTAATGAAAAAATTTCTCCTAAATGAGGGTCAAAATGTACAAATACCCCCTTTCAACGTGTTGCCAAACATTCTTTCCAGGCTGCCCGTGAAATCTCTGAAGCGATTCGAATGCGTCTGCAAATCCTGGTATGATCTCATCAACGACCCGAATTTCGCCATCCAACAACTCCATCACACCACAAACGTTTATCAGCATTGTCTACTTCAAAATGGTAGTGGTACTGGTCATGTCTCCTTGCTTTGTTTGGACGAAATAACGCAACATGTTTCTCGGCATCGGCTAAATTACTTACCCAAGTTTTGTGAAATTCTGGGTCCTTGCAATAGAATCTACTGGTTATTGCTTAATAAGGTCGAAACTTATTGCCCTGGCAAATGTTTCACTCAGAGAATTCAAGGTTCTTCCAGTGCGTCCTTGCCCTAAGTCATGGATCAGCAATCGTGGATTTGGGTTTGATCGTAAAACCAATGATTACAAGCTGGTCTTAATTCTTGTATGCAACGATACAAGAACGGGGACAACATCTTCCTCTGTGAAGGTCGTACTATATAGCTTGCGTTCTAATTCATGGAGAGAATTAGATCACTCTTCTCCGTTTGATGTAATTTGGTATTGGGATTACCCTTACTCTTGTGAAACTGACACTATGTCACAGGGAATTCTCACTGGATGGTCAGTAATGATACCGATACTCACAGTGCAATTCTTTCTTTTGACATGGCTGATGAAGTGTTCCGATTGATTTGTTTTTCAAAGTTACGGGAAATTTTACCGGACGGTGGTACACATTTCAATATTCATGCATGGAACGATGATTCTCTTTCAGTGGTTGTTCAGCCAAAGTCTTATATTCCTGACAAGACTTGTGAAGTATGGATCTTGCAAGACTATGCTGACGATGAATCTTGGACTAAGCTAATCACGATAGGGCCAATTGAAGGCATTGCAAGGTCATTGGAGCTATTGGGATTTTGGCGAAGTGGAGAATTTCTTTTCAAATGTGACAAAGAAGAAATTATGATCTCTTACAACCCAAATTACAGAAGATTACTCAGCAATTCTGAGTTTGTGGAAAAGTGCGAGCTTATTATTCGGAGAGCTTGGTTTCAATCATAGGGGATCGACAGGACAACTAAAATATGTTGTTTGATATAGTTAAGGAAAGTGATGATCCAACTCTTCAACAACCCACATCTTCGTAATGATCATTTAGTTTGGTGTTTAAATTATTGACTAGTTTTTTTTTTTTTTTTTTTATATATATATTTTTGTTGTTAGGTCGCCTAATCACCAAATGGCAATTCCTTCTTTTGTTTCGTTGATACAATATTTGCCTTAACATTTTATTTCCAGCGGATGCTTGCTTGATAAATTTAAGTATACGGTATGGTTCTTGCTTATTGGGACCAAAATATTAGCATGTCTGTTTGTCTTTTAATGAATAACACGATGTGTATAAAATATAGAGCAGTAGATCTGAAGTAAGAGACAACAACTATTTGGTGTGCTGAAATATATGATGGTACAAGTATAATCATATAAGTGGTTGAATTTTATTTTTTTTTCAAGTATCAAAATCAAATTGTGTTTTTGACACATCAAAAAATCTCTCATAGGAGGCGTCGTGAAATATATCATAATAATTTGATATATAAACTCGTGTAAGTCCTCTCATTTGCCTTAACCTTTGTACTTCAATCCATTTCCCTCCAAGCTGATATCTAAGTCACACATCCTTATTGTCCATGTCAGATTTGTCACTTTCAAGTTTCAGAAACGCCAAAGTAATGTGTTTTACTTTCTAATTTACTCTAAGAGAGTAAATTACATAAAACTACATCAACTATTGGGTCAGTTACAGTTTCATATTTCATCTTTAAAAAATGTCAATGTAATACCTTATCTTATGAATTTTTACAATTTCATACCATCCGTAAGTTTGTTTATCAATTCTTACGTTAAATAGTCACGTGCCTTAAAAATTTAATAAAATATTAAAAAATTAATTAAACATTTGGTTGATTTTATTTTTTTAGTGTTAAATATTTTTTTTTTTAATTTTAACCATTTATATAAAACACGTGATGTACCCACTTGTATTTCAATCATAATTAAAAATGTCCCCTCACTGATACAGTTCTCATCAGTGGCCATTTTAAAATTGTGGGGTTATTAGTGGGTGCTTCTGGGATTTTATTCTTTGCCCCCTAAGACTAACTCCAATGGTGGGCTAAAAGCCAAATTACCCCCTAAAATTTCCCCCCAAACCCACTCCAACCCAAGGGGAAATTTTGGGCTAAATGCTAAATGCTAAACCAATGCCAAATTCCCCCTAAAATTTAGCCCAGAAATCGGAGTGGACTGCACCCAATATTTATCGGAATTTAAATTTTTTTAGATTAAAATGTTCATAAAATTAATTTACGATAGTCTACATATTAAATTTTTTTTAAAAAATTAATTTAACCAAAAAAATAGCCTAAGTTCATTCTTTAATAATCCCGGGCTAAAATTTTAGGCTAGAATGGTTGGAGTAGAAAAGTTGTTTCTAGGCTAAAAGCTAAATTTTCCGGGTTAAAAAATTTGGCTTTTAGCCTAACCATTGGAGATGGTCTAAACAAAAGGCACACCCTAGATTTGTTGGATCCTCAACCGTGATTCCGGGGATGGGTCTGTTTTCTGAAACCTACAGTGCCAAGCAAGTCCTTTTATTATAGAAAGTCTTCATCTTTCTCCCCCTTCAATCGTACAAAGTCTCCTTATTTTATTACTGTCCACAAAATAAAGACAGTCATTTAGTTAAGATAGATTGTTGGAGTTTAATTTTCTGCATCTTTTGTTAAGATAGATTGTTGGAGACGAGGTTTCTTCCCATTGATACTCTCTAGACTGACTCCAACAGTTGGATCGTGCTTTACACCGAAGATTCTTACGTCCACCTGCGCACCACACTTAAAATACAATAAGGTCGCCAACTGAATTAAAGTTGGGCGGCAGATTTCTCAAAAAGCTACAAAAGAAAGGAAATTGCAGTGACATCATTGGCCCATGCAAAAATTTGATGGTAACATTTATACAAATTAAATTGTGGGAGGAATAGAACTTACGCGTTATCGACACGGCAGTGACATCATTGGCCCATGCAAAAAATTTAAAGGGGCCGCCTACACTGGGAAATCTTGGGAAAGACTCGACTTTGGTTATTTGATAGTCAAGCTGCACTTCTACAGGCTGCAATGGATGCCAGCAGCTCCGCCCGTGGAGCCGCCGCTGCTGCCTCTTCTTCTTCCTCGCGGAGCTCAAACCGCTGGAAGTACGAGGTGTTCCTGAGCTTTAGAGGTGAAGACACCCGCAAAACCTTCACAGACCACCTCTTCCTTGCGTTACGCAATGCCGGAATTAAAACGTTTATAGACAACCAGCTCAAAAGGGGGGAAAACATACCGAGGGAACTTGACCAAGAAATCGAAGGGTCGAGAATCGCCGTCATCATCTTCTCGAAGAGGTACGCGGACTCCCGATGGTGCCTGAGGGAGCTGTCGAAGATCATGAGGTGCCTAAAAGATCAAGAGGGGAAAATAGTGTGTCCAATATTCTACGACGTTGACCCTTCTCAAGTCAGGAAACAGAATGGTAGTTTTTCGAAAGCATTTCGGAAGCACAAAAGGAATGAAGATCCAAATGAGGTCAAGCAGTGGAGAGAGGATCTTAAGGCTTCTGCGGATTTGACCGGCTGGAACCTCAAAACCACGGCCGACGGGTATACTTTTTTGTTTACTTCAAATTTCATATCACCATATTTCACTAATGGACCAAAATTAAGATACTATCATTAAGGCATTGAATCTGATTTTATATGGTAGAAGAAAAATTGGATGTCCCTAAACTATGATAGAATTGTAATTTTGGTGACTATATAAAACTTTATTAGAATTGGTATATGAATTTTATATTTGCAAACTTGGGTTGGGCTCCGACTATATCCTGGAAAACTAAACTTGAAAATATAAAACATTTACGGAAAGTTTGAATCCCATTAGGCCCAACTAATTTGTTTAGAAATTAGCAAATGGTAGAGCATTTGCTGCAAATGATTTGCATATGAATTTCCGTCAAAATTAAGGAAGTGAAACGCAGGGTATGTGCTTTGTTTTTTTGGGTGTGTGAAGGACAAATGCTCCACACTTTATCAAATTAAAATCCCAATTGTAATAGATTCTTAATTATATTACTGAAAGTTACAATTGCATAATAGTCCAGTCACCAATGATCTAATGTATTCACATTATAATCAAAGATTAGATACGTGGTTGACTTGAGCTCAATTAATCCAGTTTATTCAAATCTGTTTCAATATGTAAATATCTAGTCATTATGAATAAGGCATTTAGTATGGCTCTTGTAATTTGGAATTTCTACTCATAGGTGTGAAGGAGTGTTTATCGAGAAAATTGTTGAGGACGTCAATGAACTACTGAAAACCACAGACTTAGAAGCCAAGCACTTAGTTGGAATGGCTTTTCGCGTGCAAGAATTCAGTACTAAATACTTAGACGCTGGAGGTTCATCTGATGTTCAAATAATTGGAATTTGGGGTATGGGCGGTATAGGTAAAACAACGCTTGCCAGAGCCATTTGTAGCAATTATCAGCACAATTTTAGTCGTCAATGTTACCTTGAAGATGTGAGAAGTAAAAAGAAAGAGATGATTAGTCTGCAAGAACAACTTCTTCGAGATATTTTGAAACGGCCTGACATTAACGTAAGCAGTGTTGCCGAAGGAACCAAGGAGATAGAGAAAAGACTTGGAAGCATGAAAGTACTCATCGTAGTTGATGACATAGATGATGTGGACCAGTTAGATGAGTTGGCGATAGAACACAAATCGTTTGGTTCAAGGAGTACGATTATTATAACAACAAGAGATGAACAAGTGTTGAATATAAAGAAGGTGGATAAAAGATATAAGGCACAAGAAATGACTAATGAAGAAGCTCTTGAGCTCCTTAGTTGGCACGCCTTTGGAAATCCTTGTCCCGACGAAGAATATATTGAACTCGCAAGAGATGTTGTTGACTATTGTGGAGGATTGCCCCTAGCTCTGAAAGTTGTTGGTCGTTTGTTGGCTACGAAAAAGAGTAAAACCACATGGGAAAGTACATTGGATAAATTGAGAAATATTCCATATCGAACAATTCATGAAACGCTTAAATTAAGCTACGATGGGCTAAGTGATGATCATGTGAAGGATGTGTTCCTTGACATATCTTGTTTCTTTATTGGATGGAGTAAAAATACTGTCACGGCAATATTGGATGGTTGTAGTCATTTTTCTGTAGAAGCAGAAATTAACACACTCTGCGATCGATGTCTCTTATATATTGATGAAGAGGGAATATTGAGAATGCATGATTTGATTCGAGATATGGGAAGAGAAATTGTGCGGGTAGAATCTCCTGTGAAAATGAGAAAACATAGTCGATTGTGGCGTAGTGAAGATGCAAAAAGAGTGCTGAGGAACGAATCTGTAAGTACTTTAGCAATAAAAAGATGTTATCTTAAGTACATGTAAAGAAAGAGAAGTATATATGCATATCCGCATATATATAATGTATGCCGTACATAGTATATTTGAAGAAGAAGAAGAAAAGAAAAGGCTTTCATCCACTGTAAATTGAAAGAGAAAATACATAATTATGTTGTATGCCCTACCTTTCTAGTAGTTCATTCATCCAATTCACGGCTCTGCTTCGTGTGAATATTATCCTTTTCTTGTTTTTTTTTTTTAATTTATTTTTACTAACAGGGAACTGAAGCAGTTGAAGGACTAACCTTAGCTTTGCCAGAAGATTCTGGTGACGAGCAAAGCTTCAGTACAGAAGCGTTTAAGAAGATGCGGCGTTTGAAATTTCTCATGCTGGAAAATGTAAAGCTGACTGGAAGCTACAAACATCTTTCCAAGGAGTTAAGATTGTTGATTTGGGATGGATTTCCTCTTGAAGCCATACCAGCAGATTTTGATCAACGAAACCTAGTTTATTTAGGCCTGAGCTACAGCAAGATCGTACGAGTTTGGGAGGATTCGGACCTGGTACGATATAATTATCAATGTCCTTATAAATATCGACATCAGTCATCGTCATTCATTCTCTCTTATTTATTTGGATTTTTATTATTGTTTTCTCTTTTTGAGTACAGTTGCCTAAGAAGTTGAAGCATCTCATTCTTGTAGACTGCCATGACCTGACTGAATTACCAGACTTTTCAAAACTCCCACTTCTCGAGGCATTGATCCTCAGTGGCTGTAAGGGTTTGTGTGGGGGTTACCATTTTTTAACACAACTGAAGGTGATTGAGGCATTAGAACTCAGCGACTGCAACATAACAGATGGTGCCGTTCTCGAAATAATTGGGAGTCTATCTTCTTTAAGAATTTTAGATCTAGATGGGAATGGTTTTAATAGGCTACCCATTCTCAGTGCCCTTTCTGAGCTTCAGTTTTTATATCTAAATCGATGCACAAACCTTCAGTCAATCCCAGATTTGCCGAACAGTTTGATTGAATTGAAAGCGAATTACTGCACTGCACTGGAAATAATGTCCGACTTTTCAGAGACGTCGAAAATGTGGAAATTGGAACTGAAAGACTGCCACAAACTCAAAGATATTCCAAACTTGGAGAACTCAATGGACAACATGGGTTCAATTCATATGGATGGGTGTACCAGTCTCACTGATACTTTTAAGGAGAACCTCCAAACGGTATGGTACTCTCTCTCTCTCTCTCTCTCTCTCTCTCTCTCTCTCTCTCTCTCTACTTTTTGTATTGTTGCTTATACTAACTTTGCACCCCATGGTGTAGAAAAATGCGTTTGGTGGAATTTTTCTCTCTGGAAATGATATTCCTAACTGGTTAGCCTATGTCGTGAGAGAGGATGAAACTGTCAAATTTGAAGTGCCGCCAAGTATTGATTATATAGGAGGGTTGGCTTTGGGCATTGTTTATTCTTCGGACAACTCCGACTGCATTGGGCCTCTAACTATTGATGTTGTTAACTGTACCCAGCGAACTAAGTTTCGCATCTGGCCTATGGAGGCCACTGTAACTGCTTCCCATGAATATTATCTTTGGTTGGGAAATCTTTCAAACAAGAAGCTCAATCTGAAAGGCGGCGACATGGTTCTTGTAAAAGCAGAATTTTATGGACAAGATAATAGAATTAAGGTGAACAAAACAGGAGTGGATATTGTAAAATGGGATTTGTTTGATGGTTATACTAATTGGGAGGACAATGAGACCATGTCATATGAGTCTGATGAAGACACTAATGACAATACACAGTTGAGCATATGCCACGTTTTCCTCTGCTACAAGACCCTCGAGGCATGGCCGTGGTGCATTGAAGGCTCTGAGTCTGATCCGCTCCCTAAGTTCTTCGCCTCCGCTCTCAAAGCTTGCAAGAACGACATCACCGCTAAGGTCCGTTTTCTAGCTCAATCCGTCGGCGTTTCTGATTGCTTTTCTTACCATTTCTTATTTCCTGGAGCTACTGAGTTCTGGTGTTGAGCTGAGTTGACTTCGTTACTCACTTTTTTCTTGGTTTTGATAGACGTTGTTGACACTAATTGAAGGACGTGAAGGAACTGAGTTTTCCGACGGCGATGTGTTGATTTTCCCACAAATGATCAAATACAGGTAAATTCGCGTTGATTTCTTGAGGTTTTTGTTATGTAGTTGCTTTAATTTTAATCCGAATTTATAGGATTTAGATAATTAACTAGTGAGTGGTTAATTTTAATTCGATTCATAACGATGAACTGAAACCGTTGTTGAGTATTTCTTAACGATACAATAGTAATAAGAATAAGTATATTAAGCAAGAGAACAACAATGTCGCACTGGAGTAATCTGAAGCAATAACTTATAACTATTCAAGATGGCACATAAAAGCTTAACTTAATTGGTGGATGAAAAAAGTTCAAATGGTGGTTTGATTATGGAATACTGAGAGTGTTGTCTTACCTATAGCTACATTGAAGAGTACCATGTAAAATTGCTTACGAGACTAAAACATGAGGCGACCCACGTTCCCACCCGAGTGCTATTCAAAAGCTGAGTCATATACTATTAAATCTAAGTCGTATACTATTGAAACGAATTATTTCCTTACTACAACCAACACTTCCAATATCAAAAGAGAAAGACATAACAGTATACGACGCATTAGCAGAAAAGCGCCACATTACATACCATGAAATGACAGCAACTAACTCTTGATATCAACTGCTGGAGGAAAAAACCTTGCCTGTGCAAAACAACAATTAAATCGAAAAAGTATGTCAGTTTTAGTTACATTATAACTGACTGTGTATGTAAAAATGCTTCAGACCTAACTTACCATATTTGAAACTAAACGAAAATCGAGATGGATTCCATTTTAGGAGACATTCAGAGATCCCATATTTGAGACTCTACACTAAAATCATTTCCAATGAAATTTTCTCTGCATTTGAAACTACTTTATCTCATCCTCACTAAATCTGCCAACACTGCATATTCTCTCGAAGAGTTCTCACCCAGCCGTGTACTCCATCACAATGGCCAGATGAGGTCGTGTGAGCAGAACCAGCAAGAAAAACACCGCACTACTCTCAGGTCTTAAACACAAACCTCTATCAATTATCTCAAATAAGCCACTCTAAAGACTATTTCCACATCACAGTAAAAACAAAGTGCAGGAAGTATAGCTCTTATTTTTAGCAGTTTAAGCACAGAGGCCAAATTTAGTGTGTTCTATCTACATCCACCCACCCTCAGCAGATACTTGTACAAAATTCAAACAGAACTTGCCACATTCATTCTTAAAATACAAAATGAAAATAGTTTATGATCACTGACCTCTTGGAATCAAACGATATTCATCTATCTGTGGTTCATGATTCCCTTTGAACATGTTCATCTATCTGCATCATCAAAAATAAAAATATTTTTAAAAAATATATAGTTTAAAGGATGAGAAATAAAGAAAATTCAGAACCAAAGCATCCAAGACTCACCACCCACAAAGATAATCAAGACATCCAGGACTCAGCCACCACCCAGGTAGGTAGCAAACACATACCTAAAGGCTAAAAAGGATAGGGTCTTCATCAAATTAGCTATGGTCAACCTAAACCAAAGTCAAGTGACAAATAAACAAAGGTATGCATAAATCATTTTCTTAGTCTGCTTTGCGATGTTAACATGTAAAAAATGAATTAGAGTCATTCGATCTTTCAGTAAAACCCAGCCCAAAACGTGTGAGAGCTGCACCCTGGGCCCAAATGCAGCAGCCCAACCCAGTTGTTAAGCACGGCCCACACTAACACACACAATGGCAAACTGTAATTAATTCATAATCGAAGGCCCATTCCATAACCAACATGAATTTACTGACCTAAATAGATAATTAGATATGTGTTAGCTTCTGAAATTAGCTCTAGAAATTGAATTTAATGGCTCAGTTTACGACTAATTCCTTGCTTGTAAATCCCTTTTTGTGATTCTGACATTGTTTTTGTTTGTTGATCAAAGAGGCTTGAAAGAGTCGGATGTGGACAGCTTTGTTGATGATGTCCTTGTGAATAATAAACCATGGGCTTCTGGAGTGCAAGAGCCGTTGACTGGCTCCCATGTATTTGTATGTGCACATGGTAGTCGAGAGGAATGGCATCGTGATAGTGCACGTGTTCTCATTGATAAGTTCGAAGAGGAGGCTAAGCTGCGAGGATTGGCAAATCAGGTATTTGTTACTGCTTGCTATCACACTGGAGGCCACAATGGAAAATTGATTATCTACAGCCCGGGATCAGATGGAAGCATAACAGGCCATTGGTAATATCCGGATCATAACAATTTAAAATTTTGTTGCGATCGATGAAGGAGTTTGAATATTATGTATTATTAATTGCAGGTATGGCTACATCCTTCCAAGTGATGTGCCAGAATTGCTTGATCAGCATATTGGGAAGGGAAGGATTATAGAACGACTTTGGAGGTTTGTACGTTTATGGTTTTGCCTACTATCTTTGGATGAAAATTTCACTGGACGGAAGCTTGTGTTGTCATATTTTTCAATTGCTGATTATGTCTAGTCTTGCATGATAGATTTATTGATATAGAGTCGCATTAATGTGGAGGAACTTTTGTGGAGAAAGCATAAAAGAATTGGATATAACTGCATTACCATGTACATGTTTCTGATTTGTAATGTTGTTGTGATTTGTTTATTAAGCTTGCTCATACGTGTTCTTACTCAATTGCTATTGACGAAACTTGAGTTGAATTCTTTAAATAGATGAACACGAAATTCAATTTCATTCCTTATAGGGGTCAAATTGGAGCATCTTCTGATGAAGCTGAAGAAATTAATGACCGCGAGCTTCCAAATGGAGAAGAAAATAAGAAAATCGAGGAGAAGCCACAAGAAACTGGCAATCAGATTTTCCAAGAAAACGACGATCAGATTCAGAATAATGAGAACTTTTCAGGCTGTTGCAAAGTGTGCTAATAGTGACAGGAAGGATGCCTTGGGGAAACGATGTTCTCGCAGCTGCTGACGTGGTTGGAGCAGTGGCAACAGTGGATGTGGCCTATAGCTTTTATGCTGAAACGTACTCTAATCTATGTCAGGTTTTGCGACCGGTGTTGGGGCCCTATTTTCTTTTTCATTTTTTCTTTGTAGAAAGATGTTATAACGTCGATTAAATAATCCTCCGAACCATGCTCTTTCATAGAAATCTAATTAACTGTTGAATGGTTTTATCGTGATTGGGATTTCTTATGAGACTGCTTGCTAAATGTTGATGTGGTATTTTCTAAGCTCCTGTGATTGTTTTCGATTTGCCTACTGGATTTATAATTCAACCGTCAATTCTGTCAAAATTTATAGTAATTTTTGTGAAATAAATCTCAACTTCGTTGTTTATGAATTTCGAAAGAGAAACGACATTGTTGTCCTCATTGTTTGTTCAATAAACGAGATAAACGACTGTGCTAACATCTTAATCTGCTTGAACTATTTTGTAGATATACAACACTATTGTCACAAATTTTAATTTCGTTTTTGAATAGTTTTTTTTTTTTTCCTTCTTCTTATTGTGGTTCTCAAACTCAATCTCATGTGGTAATTCAATTATATCTGTTAACTCAATTTATTTTTGTTGCAATTGGCCCTTTACTATAGTGGTGGAAAGGAGTTAAGCTCTTGCATAACAGTGTTGGCTCGAATCCCATTGGTGGCTAATCTAACATTTAATCTAACAAAATCTATTTTTTGACCAAAAAAGAGTTATTTTTCTGTTAAATATAGAGGGCATAGCAAGAATTTTGTACATCCACCTCCTTTTTCCCATTTTTAAAGTTGTGGGATGGATTTTAAATTTATCATCTATACTTAACAGAAAAATAGATGAAGTGGGGGGAAAAGGATATAGAAAAAGGGGCTTTTAGATCCAGGTCCAAAAACATAGATGATTTTTAGGAGTGAATCCAGTTATAGATGAAGTGGGGGGAAAAGGATATAGAAAAAGGGGCTTTTAGATCCAGGTCCAAAAACATAGATGATTTTTAGGAGTGAATCCAGTTATCTATTTACATGTTTTTATTTCTTTTATACTTATTTTATATTTTCTAAAAAATATTAAAAAATAAATTAAAATCTTCTAATATTATGCATTTTCCAACTCCAAAAAAATCTAATTAATACCTTATAACAAAAAAACTAATATACTAACACAAATCCATTTGTAAAACATTCTATCCTAACTCAAGTAACAAATATATGAATGTATATTATACATATGAGCGAGATATGAAACCTAACTAAAAGGTAAGAAAAACAATACACCTACAAGTAAGACACATCAACCTATTATAGGTTGATTATAAAAGCGAACCTGTCATTTAGGTAGATAAATATAATTAACCTGTGATATAGGTTGATTATAAAAATTAAAAATAAAGTCTATAAATGGGGTTTAAAGCAAGAGGAAGAAGAAGAAATAACAAAAAAAAGAAATAATCAAAGAAACAATTAGGAACAAATTTGATTTTTATAATAAATTTTATTATTAAAGAGATAATTATTAATAATTAAATAATTAAATTTAAGAAATTGCTTTAATAAATTTAACTATTCTTACTATTGGTTTTAAAAATTGAACTTATATCAAGTTTCCCAAATATAGTCATGCTATAGCAAGTTTGAAGATCATATAAAGCAAATAAAATGTTTAATAACGAAAATGAAGATAATGACAAATTCAGGAAACATCAATGTAATTAACCCTATTTATTTTTTATATGTACAAAATATTAAAGGCATTTCTATCTGAAAGCCAAGCCGCACAGCCTGCTGCACTCCCTCTAGTCTCCCAACACTAGTACCAATTATCGATGGATACCATCAGCTCCGCCCATGGAACCGCCGTCGCAGCCTCTTCATCTTCCCTATGCCACTCAAATCGCTGGAAGTACGAGGTGTTCCTGAGCTTTAGAGGCGACAACACACGCACTACCTTCACTGACCACCTCTCCATTGCGTTACACAATGCCGGAATCCACACGCTCATAGAGTGGGAAAACATACAGAGTGAACTTGACCAAGAAATCAAAGGGTCAAGGAATACCTTCGTCTGTCTTCTCAAAGAGGTACGTGGAGTCTGGATAGTGCCTGAGGAGCTGGCCAAGATCATGAGGTGCCAAGAAGATCAAGAGGGGAAAGTAGTCTATCCAATATTGTACAACGTCGACCCTTCTCAAGTAAGGAAATAGTGGTATATTTGGAAATGCATTTTGGAAGCATGAAAGGGATGAAGATCCAAATGAGGTCGAGCAGTGAAGAAAGGATCTTAAGGCTTCTGCAGTTTTGGGTGGCCGGAATCTTAACAAACGAAGTCGATTCATGTTTTATCGCCAATTCATCTAATTGGTCAGCACCATCTATGCCATCAACAACGACAAGCAACTTCATGCTTCCAAGTCTTTTCTCTATCTCTTTGGTTCCTTCAGCAACACCGCTCACATTAATGTCCAGCCGTTTCAAAACACCTCGAAGAAGTTGTTATTGCAGAGCAACGATACTTTTCTTTTTTACTCCTCACCTTTTCAAGGTAACATTGACCACTAAAGCAACGATGATATTCTCTACAGAGAGCTCTCGCAAGTGTTTTTTCACCTATACTGCACATACCTCAAATTCCAATTATTTGAACATCAAGCAAATCTCCAACATCTAAGCATTCAGTACTGAACTATTGCACAAGAAAATCCATTCCAACTGAGCACTTGGCTTGTTTTAAGTCTGTTGTAATCAGTAGTCCTCTGATGTCCCCAGCAATTTCCTCAATAAACAACCCTTCACGCCTGGCAATTAAATTTCAAAATTACACAAAAGTAAGATTGATCATGCAACTGCAAGATTCATATGAACTAAATGCCTCATTCATCATGACCAGATATTTTCTGAGCAAAGAAGATTTGAGTAAATTATAAGTGAGTAAATTTGAGCATAAAAAAATGTAAAAAAGGAGTTGAAGAAGGAAGTATACCCGTCCGCCGGAAAGAAGCCTTAAGATCCTTTCTCCACTGCTTGTTCGTTTGGATTTTCATCTCTTTTCCGAACTTCCCCAAAACCACCACTCCGTTTCCTCACAACGGCATAGAATATTGGACAGACTATTTTTCCCTCTTGATCTTCTCCGCACCTCATGATCTAGGCCAGCTCCCTCAAGCACCACTGGGACTCCGCGTACCCCTTGGAGAAGACGACGACGGCGATTCTGGACCCTTCGATTTATCGGTCAAGTTCGCTCTGTATATTATCCCCCTTCTGAGCTGGTAGTCTATAAACGTGTTGCTTCCGGCATAGCGTAAAGCATTGGAGATGTTGTCTGTGTAGTTAGTGCGTGTGTCGTTGCCTCTAAAGCTCAGGAACACCTCGTACTTCTAGCGGTTTGAGCGGCACAGGGAAGACGAAGAGGCTGCGACGGCGGTTCCATGGGCGGAGCTGCTGGTATCCATCGATTACCGATTGGTGCAGCTGGCTTTCAAGAAAAGAAAGTCAAAACTCTGATCATTTCAGTGAGCAGCACGTGTAATTTAGAAACTAAAAGGTTAACGACTTAACGCGGTGTAATTTGGAAAATTTTTAGTTGTGATAGGAATACAGTACATCACGTGTTTTTATGTAAATGATAAAATTTTTACTTTTAAATTATTAATCTTTTAACACACATAAAAATTTAAGTTAATAACGAGCGACGATCACATTGAAAAATCTCTAATCTCTCGTATAATTTGGTAGTTACTGGGTTTGGTTTTTTTATTAATTACATGCGTTAAATTCTGATTAATCGTAATTTGGATACTCGAAGGACGTCCCACTTCAATAAGTCAATGGTATCACTACACAACCGTGTGAATAACAAACGGGTGCAATTCTCACAATTTAATGGGCTTTGATGGGTCATAAGACCCATGTCCAATTTGGTTACTTGCAGTGTTTGAGCCCATAAGTTCTATTGGGCCATGTCTAACCCAATCGTGTAAATGTTTTCATTTTTGTTCTCTCGTGAACACCTTGAAAACTTTCACGTCTCAATTTTGTTATAATTTTTTGACTTTCTAACTTCCAAATTCCAATGCGTATTTTAGCCTGTTGGAGTTTAATTTTCCGTCTTTCGTAAAGATAGGTTGTTGGATATGAGGTCTCTTCCCATTTGATACTCTCTAGACTGACCCCAACAGTTGGATCGTGCTTTACACCGAAAATTCTTACGTCCACCAGCAGGGGCGGTTGGACCGACCTTAAAATAAGTTGGGCGGCAGATTTCTCAAAAAGCTACAAAAGAAAGGTAATTGCATTGTAAAATATTTAAATTTGATGGTAACATTTATACAAATTAAACTGTGGGGGAATAGCACTCGCGCGTTATCGACACGGCAGTGACATCATTGGCCCATGCAAAAAAATTTAGAAGGGCCCCCTACACTGCGGAAACTTGGGAAAGACTTGACTTTGGTTATTTGAAAGCCAAGCTGCACTTCTACAGGCTGCAATGGATACCAGCAGCTCCGCCCATGAAGCTGGCTCTGCCGCCTCTTCGTCTTCCTCGCAGAGCTCAAACCGCTGGAAGTACGAGGTGTTCCTGAGCTTTAGAGGCGAAGACACCCGCAACACCTTCACAAACCACCTCTTCATTGCGTTACGCAATGCCGGAATTAACACTTTTATAGACAAGCAGCTCACAAGGGGAAAATCATACAGAGTGAACTTGACCAAGAAATCGAAGGGTCGAGAATTGCCATCATCGTCTTCTCGAAGGGGTACGCAGAGTCCCGGTGGTGCCTGGGGAGCTGTCGAAGATCATGAGGTGCCTAAAAGAACAAGAGGAGAAAATAGTCTGTCCAATATTCTACGACGTTGTCCCTTCTCAAGTCAGGAAACAGAAAGGTAGTTTTGGGGAAGCATTTCAGAAGCATGAAAGGGATGAAGATCCAAATGAGGTCAAGCAGTAGAGAGAGGATCTTATGGCTTCTGCAGATTTGGGCGGCTGGAATCTCAAAACCACGGCCGACAGGTATACTTTTTTGTTTACTTCAATTTTCATATCACCATATTTCACTAATCAACCAAGATTAAGATATTATAATTAAGGCATTGAATCTGATTTTATATGTGATAAGAAAAATTGGATCGTTGATCTCTGAACTGTGGTAGAGCTGTAATTTTGGTCCCTACATAAAAATTTATTACAATTGGTATATGAATTTATAAAAGGTAGAGCATTTGCATAAGAATTTTCGTTGAAATTAAGAAAGTGAAACGCAGGGTACGTGCTTTGTTTTTTATGGGTGTGTGAAGGACAAATGCTCCACACTTTATCAAATTAAAATACCAATTGTAATGGATTCTTAATTATATTACTGAAAGCTACAATTGCATAATAGTCCAGTCACCAATGATCTAATGTATTCATATTATAATCAAATATTAGATACGTGGTTGAATTGAGCTCAATTAATCCAGTTTATTCAAATATGTTTCAATATGTAAATATCTAGTCATTATGAATAAGCCATTTAGTATGGCTCTCGTAATTTGGAATTTTTACTCGTAGGTGTGAAGGAGTGTTTATAGAGAAAATTGTTGGGGACGTCAAGGGACTACTGAAAACCACATACTTAAAAGAAGCCAAGCACTCAGTTGGAATGGCTTTTCGTGTGCAAGAATTCAGTACTAAATACTTAGACGTTGGAGGTTCACCTGACATTCAAATAATTGGAATTTGGGGTATGGGCGGTGTAGGTAAAACAACGCTTGCCAGAGCCGTTTGTAGCAATTATCAACATAGTTTTAGTCGTCAATGTTACCTTGAAGATGTGAGGAGTAAAAAGAAAGAGATGGTTATTCTGCAAGAACAACTTCTTCGAGATATTTTAAAACAGTCTGACATTAAGGTAAGCAGTGTTGCCAAAGGGACCAAAGAGATCAAGAAAAGACTTGTGAGCATGAAGGTACTTGTCGTGGTTGATGACATAGATGATGCAGACCAATTAGATGAATTGGCAATAGAACATGAATCGTTTGGTCTAGGGAGCAGAATTATCATAACAACAAGAGATGAACATGTGCTGAATATACAAAAGGTGGATAAAAAATATAAGGCACAAACAATGACAGGGAAAGAAGCTTTTGAGCTCCTTAGTTGGCATGCCTTTGGAAATGATTATCCCGATAAAGAATATATTGAATTGGCAAGAGATATTGTTGATTATTGTGGAGGATTGCCCCTAGCTCTGAAAGTTGTCGGTTGTTTGTTGGCTAAGAAAAAGAGTAAAACCATATGGTAAAGTACATTGGATAAATTGAGAAATATTGCAGACGAAAAAATTCATGAAACGCTTAAATTAAGTTACGATGGATTACGTGATGATCATGAGAAGGGTGTGTTTCTTGACATATCTAATTTCTTTATTGGAGAGCATAAAAGTGCGGTCATGGCAATATTGGATGGTTGTTATCGTTTTTCTGTAGAAGCAGAAATTACCACACTCTGCGATCGATGTCTCTTATATATTGATGAAGGGGAAAATTTGAGGATGCATGATTTGATTTGAGATATGGGAAGAGAAATTGTGCGGGCAGAATCTCCTGTGGAATTGGAAAAACGTAGTCGATTGTGATATAGTAAAAAGCGTACTCCGGAATGAATCGGTAAGTACTTTTGTAATAAAAAATGTTATGTTAAGTACATGTAAAGAAAGAAGTATACATGCAAATCCGCATATATATAATGTATGCCGTATATAGTATATTTGAAGAAAAATAAGAAAAGAAAAGGTTTTCATCCACTGTAAATTGAAAGAGAAAATACATAATTATGTTGTGTGCCCTACCTTTCTTGTAGTTCATTCATCCAATTCATGGCTCTGCTTCGTGTGAATATTATCCTTTTTTTGTTTTTTTGTTTTTTTTTTTTTTTAATCTCTAACAGGGAACAGAAGCAGTTGAAGGGCTAAACTTAATTTTGCCAGAACATTCTGATGACAAGCAAAGCTTCAGTACGGAAGCATTTAAGAAGATGTGGCGACTGAGAATTCTCTGGCTGGGAAATATAAGGCTGACTGGAAGCTACAAACATCTTTCCAAGGAGTTAAGATTGTTGTATTGGAAAGGATTTCCTCTTGAAGCCATACCAGCAGATTTTGATCAACGAAACCTAGTTTATTTAGGCCTGAGCTACGGCAAGATGGTACGAGTTTGGGAGGATTCGGAGCTGGTACGACATAATTATCAATGTCCTTGTAAGTATGAACATCAGTCATCGTCATGCATTCTCTCTTTTCTTTATTTGGATTTTTATTATTGTTTTCTCTTTTTGAGTAACAGTTGCCTAAGAAGTTGAAGTATCTCGTTCTTAGACACTGCCATAACCTGACCGAATTACCAGACTTTTCAAAACTCCCACATCTCAAGGCATTGAACCTCAGAGGCAGTAAGGGTTGGTGTGGGGGTTACCATTTTTTGGCACAACTGAAGATGATTGAGTCATTAGATCTCAGCGACTGTAATATAACAGACGGTGCCGTTCTCGAAATAATTGGGAGTCTATCTTCTTTAACAAAATTAGGTCTAGATTGGAATGGTTTTAATAGGCTACCCATTCTCAGTGGCCTTTCTCAGCTTCGGTTTTTATTTCTAAATCATTGCACAAACCTTCAGGCAATCCCAGATTTGCCGACGAGTTTGATTGAATTGAAAGCGAATTACTGCACTGCACTGGAAATAATGTCCGACTTTTCAGAGATGTCGAAAATGAGGAAATTGGAACTGAAAGACTGCCGCAAACTCAAAGATATTCCAAACTTGGAGAACTCAATGGACTACATGCATTCAATTCATATGGAAGGGTGTACCAGTCTCACTGATACTTTTAAGGAGAACCTCCAAACGGTATGGTACTCTCTCTCTCTCTCTCTCTCTCTCTCTCTCTCTCTCTCTCTCTCTCTCTCGCTCTGCTTTTTGTATTGTTGGTTATACTAACTTTGCACCCCATGGTGTAGAAAAATGCATTTGGTGGAATTCTTCTCTCTGGAAATGATATTCCTAACCGGTTAGCCTATGTCGCAAGAGAGGATGAAACTGTTGAATTTAAAGTGCCACCAAGTCTTGATTATATAGGAGGGTTGGCTTTGGGCATCGTTTATTCTTCGGACAACTCTGACTGCACTGGGACTCTAATCATTGATGTTGTTAATCGTACCCAGCGAACTATTTTTCGCGTTTGGGCAATGGAGGGCACCGTAACTGCTTCCCCTGAATATTATCTTTGGTTGGGAAATCTTTCAAACAAGATGCTCAATCTGAAAGGCGGCGACAAGTTTCTTGTAACATCAGAATTTTATGAATGTGATAATAGAATTAAGGTGAACAAAACAGGAGTGGATATTGTAAAATGGGATTTGTATGATGGTAGTACTAATTGGGAGGACTATGAGACCATGTCATATGAGTCTGATGAAGACACTGATGACGATACACAGTTGAGCATATGCCACGTTTTCCTTTGCTACAAGACCCCCGAGGCATGGCCGTGGTGCATTGAAGGCTCTAAGTCCAATCTGCTCCCTAAGTTCTTCGCCTCCGCTCTCAAAGCTTGCAAGAACGACATCACCTTTAAGGTCCGTTTTCCAGTTTGTGTTTTGTTGAATTTTAAATGGTAGAAGCTTCTTGGGTTCAATTTAAATGTGTTGTTATCAACTATTGAATTGCTTTCGAAGCTGTTTGGCTACTCCCTTAACGCCATTTTTCCTTTTCTTTTCAGCTTCTTCGATTTGCAGCCCCCTTATTTTTATTCCTTTTCCAAATTTAGCTTTTTTCCCTATTTTTGTATCTTTTGGCTAATTTTGTGGATCTTAGTCAGTGCTGTGGGTATTGGTGAATTTCTAGCATGTTTAAGCGTGCAGTTTTTGTTATAATGCATGGATTGTGTCTTGTTCAATTTTAAATCTCAGAAGCTTTTAATTTTTTTTGGGTTCAATTTTAAATGGGTTGTTATCAACCATTGAATTGCTTTTGGAGTATTCATTTGATAAGAGAGATGGGGGGTTCTTTTGGGTGAAACTTTTGATTCGTGATATTTTTAGTTAGGTTGTGTTGTGGGTTTTCGTAAATTTCTATCGTGTTTATGCGTGCATTTTTTTGTTATAGATTTGGAAGAACATAGCATTACAGGGTGTTGAGGGTTTGCTGGCGGGGGAAAGTAGTAGCGTTAAGATTTGCAGGTGAGATATTAGGGTGAGAGAAAAACAGGACAAAGAGCATCGAAGACACATTTGGGATTAGGGGTAGCAAAATAGGGGAAAAGAATATGACAGAGGAATGGACTCTTAATTTTTTCTTGACTGGTTTGGGATTTTGCTTGCCTCTGGGGTCGTCGTTGGCGTCAAGCCATTTGGTGTCAAGTGGTGTCTGTTTTTTCATAACTTTTATTACTAATTTTCATGTCATTTGCGATTTTGTGTCCTAGGATTTCTGAATTTTATCGTTCATTGTCAGTTTAAACTTTTTTTTGTCTTTCATATGTTTGTTTAATATGTTGTGTTTGTGCTGGGACGCGGTTTTGCAAGTTCTCTTTCCATTGGGACCACTACATTTTATAAGTGATGAGGGTGAGGTTTAGATACTCAAAACACTCCATTTTTTTTTCCAAATATGTTCGTTTGGTTCTCTTCGGTTTTAAATTTTTAAAATTAAATGGTTATTTTGATAAAATGGTTTATTAGTTTATCTTATGTGTTGTGATCAGGAATTCAATTGGATTGGGTAAAATGCTTTATCAATTTACGTTATAGGGAATTTTGTGTATTATGGTCTGAGTTTTATTGCACATCGTTTGTTCTTTTTTCTTTGTTTGCCGGTTTATTTTGCAGGGGATCACTATAAAATTGTTTGAGGGTAAGATTTAGATAATAAAATTCGAAACGAGGCATTCCTTTTCTTTTTGGAAAGTAATTTAAAAGCTCTGCATAGATAGTTAACTGTGTTGAAATGTCTTGATAAAACCTAAACATTTTGTTATATGTGAATGTTCATTCCTTACTACAAATATAATAGGCATAGTGGTCTAAAAAATTAAAACCCACTGACACATGACATCAGAAATTCAAACCAATTTCTACTGTTACCATTACCTTCTTTCATTCAGATCATCAGCATGTAGTTCAAATCTAGATCAAACCTAGATGAAATTCAGGTGACATTATTTATTGTCATTGTTTCAATAATTTACATTGTTTTAGTACCCAGGTTTACAGCATGAGCTGAAGATCCAAGATCATTTTGGCAGAGACTTAGATATTGAAGACACTAATTTTGCTCCTTATTTTGTAGTTTAATGTCCAACTTTTTACATGTTTTATACACTTATAACACCCGCTGCCGACCAGCGCCTAACAATTTTTAGAACCTTGAGCAGAAAGGTGGAAGTGAGGAAAAGCAGCTGAAAGAAACCACAGAGTCGTGTGCCTGGAAGGATGCCTTACGGAGGCTGTCAAGCTTGATTGGGAACTGGGAGCAAAGCGATGTTCTCACAGCTGCTGCCGTGGTTGGAGCAGTGGCAACAATGGTTGTGGCCTATAGCTTTTATAGAAGGTCAAGCTGAAACGTACTCTAATCCATGTCAGGTTTTGCCACGGGTGTCGAGGCCCTATTTTCTTTTTCATTTTTTATTGGTAGAAAGATGTTATGACGTCACTTAAATAATCCTCCGGACCAACTCCTATGAAAGGAGAAATCGAATAAACTGTTGAATGGTTTTATCTTGATTGGGATTTCTTATGAGACTGCTTGCTGATGTGGTATGTCCCAAGTTATTGTGATTGTTTTCGATTTGCTTGCTGGACTTATAATTCAACCGCCAATTCTGTCAAAATTTATGGTAATTTTTGTGAAAGAAATCTCAATTTGTTGTTTATGAATTTCGAAAGAGAGAAAACGGCATTGTTGTCATTGTCGTTTGTTTAATAAATGAGATACACGACTATGTGCTAACATTTTAATCTGCTTGAACTATTTTTTAGATATACGGTATTTTTGTCACGAATTTTACCTTCATTCTAGAATAGATTTTCCTTTTTTCTTATTGTGGTTCTCAAACTCAATCTCATGTGGTACTTCAATTATATCCGTTAACTCAATTTATTTTTCTGTTAAATATAGAGGGCATAGCAAGGATTTTTTTTACATCCGCCTCTTTTTTTTTTTTTTTTTTTTTTCTATTTTTAAGGTTGTGGGATGAATTTTAAACTTATCATCTCTACTTAACAGAAAAATAGATGAAGTTGACAACAAGGATATAAACAAAAAAAATCATGCTATAGCGAGTTTGAAGATCATATAAAACAAATAAAATGTTTAAAAACGAAAATGAAGATAAATGACAAATTCAGGGAACATCGATGTAATTAACCCTATTTATTTTCTATATGTACAAAATATTAAAGGCATTTCTATGACACTTGTGTAGACAACATTTTACTTACTCTATATACCTGATTTGTTCACTTTACCACCTAAAGTTTTATTAGGTGTCTCACTTAGCCTTTTTCTTTTAACTTTGTTAGCATGAAAGGGATGAAGATCCAGATGAGGTCGGGCAGTGGAGAAAGGATCTTCAGGCTTCTGCAGATTTGGGTGGCCGGAAGCTTAAAACCACAGCGGACAGGTATTTTAATTCTTCCTCTAAATTTAATTCCAACGTCTTGTATTTAGATTCGAAGACTCACTAATCCACCAAAAATAAGGAGATTATGATCAGACTTTGATTTCATACGTTTATAGGAAAAAAACTTTGGAGCATTGGTAATGCTGAAGGACGAATCCTTCGTATGTCAAACCCATATACTAATTCTAAAGGATTTCTAATTGTATGACTAAAAGCTATAATATGGTTTAATAAGGGCAAACAAACGCCTTCTTATAGTTCAGGAGCAATCTAACTGAGTTTAACTAATAAGGTTACAATGCATTTCGGAAACACGGCTGAACTGAACTTAACTAATCATCCCTATCAAATATAATTTATTTAAAACGTTTTCGCTACCAAAATATCTAATCATGATGAATGAGGCATTTAAGTGATATAAATCTTGCAGTTGCATGATGACTCTTACTTTTGTATAATTTTGAATTTTAACTACAAGACATGAAGGATTGTTTATCGAGAAAATTGTTGAAGACATTAGAGGATTACTAAAAACCACAAACTTAAAAGAAGTCAAACACTCTGTTGGAATAGCTTTCACGTACAAGAATTCAGTACTAAATACTTAAATGTTGAAGGTTCACCTGATGTTCAAATAATTGGAATTTGGAGTATGACGGTATAGGTAAAACAACGATTGCAAGAGCCATTTGGAGTATGTTGTTTGATATAGTTAAGGAAAGTGACGATCCAACTCTTCAACAACCCACATCTTCGTAAGGATCATTTAGTTCAGTGTTTAAATTATTGACTCGTTATTTTGTATAATTTTTTTTAGTTCGCCTAATCACCAAATGAATTGTGCAATTCCTTCTTTTGTTTCGTTGATAATATTTGCCTTACAGTTGACTTCCAGCGGGATGCTTGATATTTCCAAGTATATGGTATGGTTCTTGCATACAGGGACCAAAATATTAGCATGTCTTTTTGTCTTTTAACGAATACAAAGATGTGTTTAAAATAAAGAGCAGTAGATCTGAACTAGGAGATGACAACTTTTCAGTGTGCCAGAATACAACCCAATACATCAAGTATCATCATACAAGTGGTTGATTTTTTATTTTTTTCAAGTATCCAATCACTAGTGTGATAACACTTGATGTATCAAGCTGTGTTTTCGACACACTAAAAAAGCTACATAATAAATGTGAAAAAATATATCATAATAATGTGATATCGAACTCGTGTAATACCTCTCACATATCTCTTTGCCTTAACCTTTGCACTTCAGTTCATTTTCCTCCAACCTAATATCTAAAGTCACACACCCTATAGTCTATGTCATATTTGTCACATTTGTCACATTTGTCACACTCAAGTTTCAGAAACGCCAGAATAATGTGTTTCGCTTTCTAATAAGACATTGGTAATTCAATTATTGTGATGGGCTTTTGGCCTTAGTGGCCACCAAAAGGGCACTTTCTCGAAGCCCCAATTGTATCGTTATGTTGTATTCGTCTTTTTATCGCCCGTTTACCTTTCTTTTTCTCCGACAACATTTTCTTATCCTTCAAAGAATCTATGAAATAAATAAAAGTCACATATCTTCCATTTTCTTGCAGAATTGTACTTGATTAATTTAGTTAGAACATTGTGTATGTGTTTTATGTCTATGCACATCTTGAAAATATTCTCTTTATCAAATCTTAGAATCGATGATATAAAAAGACATTTTTTTTATTGTATATAGCTAATTTAATTAAAACAATATGTTTATTGCATGAAATTTTGACTCAATAATTTAGTCTAAATTAATTAAAAGATTGCTCAAATACATATGTATTTTCCACCGAGGATTAGTTGAGTTGTAAGGTCTATGTTTGAGTTCCATTGTAAGCAACCATTTTTTTGTGCAAGATCTGTAAAAACAAAAAAAGGACTAAGACTCCTTGTGTAAGTTCTCAAGGATACTTGTGGTAGGCCTTGGCCTTAATGGATTAGCTTTCCTTTCCCCTAAACTTTTAAAATTCAAATATATAAATCAGTTATTTAGTAGTCATTTATATTACGATTTAATAGCATTTATTTTAACTTGTAAGTGAGGAATTTTTTTCAGTGTGGTGCGAACACTGAACATGACTCGATACACCAAGTGTCATAATAAAATAGTTTAATTTTTTATTTTTTTAAAGTTTCTAACCAATTGTATTTTTACAACGTGTTTCTAGTAAATTGAAAAATCTCTCATAAATGAGAAGTCTTAAGTTCGATTCTCGTCAAAGTAAATTCCAACCAAATTATTATGACTGTCTCATTGTGAAGCTTAACTCGCCACCCCCTTTAGGGGCCCGACGTCCTCGTCGGCACACACGCGACCAGGGTTAGGCTCTGATACCAATGTCACATCCCGACCCGGGGCGGATCACTTCCCGGGCCCGACTCCACCACCGTAGCACGATATTGTCCGCTTTAGGCTCCGACCACGCCCTCACGGTTTTGTTTCTGGGAACTCACACGAGAACTTCCCGATGGGTCACCCATCCTGGGAGTGCTCTCGCGCGCTACTCGCTTAACTTCGGAGTTCCTATGGAACCCGAAGCCAGTGAGCTCCCAAAAGGCCTCGTGCTAGGTAGGGATGGGAATATACATATAAGGATCAGTCCCCTGGGCGATGTGGGATGTCACACTCCCTCCACCACTTAATGTACATAATATCATATTATTAAAAAAAACTATTTATTTAGTAATTATTTTATTTTATTATAATCTAAACTACCTATCAATGAAACTCCTTTAATCAACCAAATAAGAGTGAAAATACCAAATTAACTTAAATAAATTAATAAATTAAAAGTTATGCATAATATAGTAAATTGCACACAAAATACTTTTAATTTTTTTTCCGAAGTCTTATAACTAAGTAATCATATCAATTACCTTGTAAACTTTTAGTTAAAGAAATATTTATTCAAAACTAGTAGTCAAAGATATGAACAGTTTCATTCAGCGATGAAAAATCATTTGAAGATCATAAAGAAAAAAAATTTAGAAATCATTTTACATTTTTTTCTTATTATAAATTTTTACGGTTGCTAGAATAAATAAGGGAAAAGGATGTAGAAAGGAAGATAAACGAAGGAAACACACTATTCTCTGACAGAGACTAGTTTATCTCTGGATCCATAAGACAAGACAGTAATATTCCACACGCGGAGGAGGCCAACAAATTAATCTCAACTGAACTCACTTCCCACCCGCCCACCGCCACCGTCGCCGCCACCAAGTTCCCAAATCTCCACCTGGATCCTCTCAGTTTCATCCTCCTCTGCCTTGCTCAACTCTATCTGCTTGCTCTTCTACTGATTTCCTCTCTCTCCCCAATTCCCAATAATAAATCTAATCCACTCCCACTGATAGAGCTCTCATCAGTGACCATTTTTATATTGTAGGGTTGTTGGTGGGTGCCTCTGGGTTTTTATTCTTTGCCCCCCAAACAAAAGGCACATCCTAGATTTGTAGGATCCTCAACCGTGATCCTGGGGATGGGTCTGTTTTCCGAAACCTACAATACCAAGCATGTCCTTTTATTATAGAAATAGTAAGTCTTCATCTTCCTCCCTCTTCAATCATACAAAGTCTCCTTATTTTATTACTTTGTTTCCATTTTTATCCAGACCAAAGCTTCCATCTTTATCTCAAATGTAGTCCTACAAATAAAGGGTACCCTTTGTTTTGGTTAATTAGTCAGTGTATGTTGTTCTGGTTTTAGAATTTTAGAGAGAGAAAATTATGGGATCTGGTAATGGGGTTTATTCAGTTGCGGATTTCGATTTGGACGCCAAGTGGCTGATCGATCCAAAACATCTTTTTGTTGGTCCGAGGATTGGGGAAGGCGCGCATGCCAAAGTGTACGAAGGAAAGTAAGTCAACCTCAGTACAACCTCTGTTTTTGTTTTGTCTTAGATTCTGAATTTCTGGTTTCTCAAGTCTACGAATTTACAATTATCTCTTAGATCTTGTTAAACATAAATGCAAGATTGAATTGGGTTTTAGCAGAACTAGTCAAAGATCAAAACTTGCTTTGGTGTTGTGCAATTCTTGTGTTAATGATGCCGAATATGTGTTTTTCGTGTCGAGTTACAACGATGATGTTCTGTTCTGTTGTGTTCTTAGTCTGTTTGTTTGTTGTGTTTTGTTTGTTCTAGATATAAGAATCAAAATGTTGCTGTAAAAATTGTTCATAGAGGAGAAACCCCAGAGCAGATTGCCAAGAGAGAAGCGCGGTTTGCGAGGGAAGTGGCAATGATGTCGAAAGTGCAGCACAAAAACTTAATGAAGGTTGTTGTCTAATTTTCGATATGTATTTGTGATTACTAAATAGGCGTATTTGCGATATCTGATGGGGGATTTTAAACTTTGTATTACCAGTTCATTGGTGCCTGCAAAGAACCTGTCATGGTCATAGTGACTGAGCTTCTTCTAGGTGGAACTTTGCGCAAATACTTGTTCAGTATGCGGCCAAGGTGTTTGGACACGTGCGTGGCAGTTGGGTTTGCGCTTGATATTGCTCGTGCTATGGAGTGCTTACACTCCCACGGTATCATTCACCGTGACCTGAAACCTGGTATGTGGTTTAGTTCATTGTTTAACATAAGGGTTGACCAATGAACGAAGTCACTTAGCTCGACGTTAGGAGAGTCAAGGTGGGAACGCCTACATAGAAGAACCAAGAAGGATTAAAGTGAAGTCTATCTGTGAGCATGTCTCAAATATTCAAATCCGAAGGATTGTTGTTTAGCATTAGGTAGCTGATAGTTTAGTATTCAGCATGATTGAAGACTTCCGTAGCAGAATAACTTCCGGAACACAAAACGAATTGCTTTAGTTCACATAACTGTCATTTCTGGATGGAACTATTGTTAGGGCGAAGCTTATTTCCGAAAACAGGGTTTGTTCCACAATCTTACACTTTTGTCCTGTCCTTTTCCCAGAGAATTTGATCTTGACTGCCGACCAAAAAACAGTCAAACTTGCGGACTTTGGCTTAGCAAGAGAAGAGTCATTGACAGAGATGATGACCGCTGAAACTGGGACATACCGGTGGATGGCTCCTGAGGTACGTAACGGTACTTAAATTGGTCTTGAAAATTTGTTTTCTCATATGTCTTGTGAGTGTGTTTGATATCAGCAAATTAATTTTCCACCTTTGTATTTGGTGGCAGCTTTACAGCACAGTTACATTACGACACGGTGAAAAGAAGCATTACAATCATAAGGTGGACGCTTACAGCTTTGCAATTGTATTGTGGGAACTCATCCATAACAAGCTACCTTTTGAAGGCATGTCGAATTTACAAGCAGCGTATGCAGCTGCTTTTAAGGTAACAAAATACCACAATAGTCTTATTCATAACTCGGTACTGTTTAGTTTTTAAGCATCGTAATTTGAGGTTATACGAATTGTTTCAGAATGTGAGGCCGAGTGCAGAAAGCCTCCCCGAGGATTTGGCGTTGATTGTAACTTCATGTTGGAAAGAGGATCCCAATGACCGGCCCAACTTCACCCAAATTATACAGATGCTGCTGCATTACCTCTCTACTATTTCGGCACCAGCACCCGCTATCCCTCAACGGATATTCAAATCTGAGAACGCTGTACTCCCACCAGAGTCGCCCGGTACTAGTTCTTTGATGGCTACTCACAACGACTCGGGTGAAACCCCTCAACCCAACACGGACATGGAAGATAAACCTAAAGTTTTTTTCTCCTGCTTTAGCCAGTGTTATTGATCCTGCAAGCTGTAATCTTTACCTTTCAAATGTTTATTAACTTACTCTCTTAGGAAAGCTCAATAAGGCACGCCCCGAAATATTAGTAGACAACTACTCGTAGGGAAAAAAAGATAATTTTCATTTAGCGGCCTACGGTCTGATGTTACCGTTGAAATTCGGATAGTCGTTAGGTTTAGTTTGGTCTGATTGAGATCAAATAGAAAGGAATTTTTAGAGTTGTGGAGTTGGGGTTGCTGTGATGAGTTGACATTGTAAAAATAAGGGGTTCATCCAAAAGCCTTCGCTCCTGTTCAATAAAATCTCTTTTGAGCTTCTCGTAATCTCGATCTCGATGACCATCGATGTCGAGTTCAAACTCTGTAACAGATAATGTACGCGGTCTTCCTTCTGGACTGTGAAGATGTCCACAGATACCCGTTAGGTCCAGTAAACAAAGTTCACAAACCGAAAGTTATGGAAAAAAAATGAAAAAAAAAAAAAACGCTCAAAAACGCCGTTGCCGGGGATCGAACCCGGGTCACCCGCGTGACAGGCGGGAATACTTACCACTATACTACAACGACATTTGATGTTAATTAAACTATATATTATATTATATTTACCATGCTGCCCGATCTGACTACTTTGTGCCCAAGACAAGCAGTCGAGTCACATCAATATCGAGGGGCAAAATCGAGAATCCACAAAAGTCTCCCAAACGTTTCTACATGTAGCTTGGGGAGCACGGTAGTCCGTCATCGAGTCCGACAGAAAAAATATCGTAATTACACTTTACTCGGTTTTCGAACCCCCACAAAAAGCTCGACAAGACAGCTTCGTTATCACCGCACCTCAGCTTCGGACTCAGGTTTCGTCAACCCCATACCCCACTGAGACGGCCTCTCGCGGTGGGTCCGCCTCCTCATTGACCAAAGACTCTGAACCCGAACCTGAGGCTTGTAGGTAACGGCTCATCGGGTCCGAAGCTGGATTTTCCCGCTCACACACACTCTCTCTCTCGCTACTTTAACTTAATCCGGTGGAGAAAGGACCCCTTTCCCTCTCTCTCTCTCTCTCTCTCTCTCTCTCTATAAATTGGAATGCGCTTCGTTGAAACATCGTCTCCGACTTCGAAGAAATGGCAAGGTGAGAGCCCTTTCACTCGTCAGTGATGAAAAATTTCAAATATGGGTGGACAATATAATATATAATTATAGAAATTATTAATAAATAAATAAATATACGAATTTCTGGAAACTTTCTTTTGATTGGGAGCTGAGAAACCTCTATACAAATTTTCCCAGCTTCTTCAACGGTTAAACCCATGTAATTTCTTCTTGTTTAGTTTTTGGTTTCTGGGTTTTATTCGGATGAAAATACTGTTTCGAAAGTTAGTTTGCTTTTAGAAGTGTTCAGATGCTGGATTTGGGTATAAATTTTGATTTTTGGGGGAACCCATTAAACAGGAATATCAATCTAGCTCTGTAAGGATTAATGATTTTTACTTTATGGGGAGCTTCCTAATTTGGGATTAAGGTGCTGATGATGTCAAAGCTTCTGTTTTGGTAATGCATGGTTGAAAAAAAGGAAGCATTTTTATTGGTGAATGAAACATATTATTTAGTGAATTTGTGAATTTTTTTGTGAATTTGGGGGTTTTCTGGAAACCCATGTCTGTTTTCACCTTTTCGATTGTACTGGGAATGTGGAGTCGATGATAATGTAGAAGGTTTTACATTTGTGAAACGATTTACTTTCTGTAGTTAAATATGACTATACAGATGCTTGATTGATATTATGATTCAGTGTTTTTGTTAATTCTCTTGTGAATTTGTGTGTTTTTCCTCAGAAACCCGTGTCAGTTTTCACCCTTTTCAATTGTACTGGGAATGTGAAATGGATGATAATTTGGGTTCGGATGTTTTTTCTGTTGGTCATAGCTTCTTTAGATTCTAGCTAAAAATTGCTTCTGTGATGAAATTTTGTGGCTTATAGTGTAAAGTTCTTGTAGGGCTTGGCTGATTAACAGCAGAGGACTTGCAAAGAAAGTGAAGAATGCTTCTCAATCGTCTGTGTGTCCAATCAAAGACTCTGGGGCAAATCGTGAATGCCCGAATTGCCATTTTGTTATAGATAACAGTGATGTAAGCTGGGTTGTTAGTTCTATTCATATGCAAATGATTATATGTTGTCCACAACTTTCAGCTTATAGGTTAAGCTTTTTATTCATTTAAGTACTTCTGCAACTCCACTTGTGTAGGTTTTATCGGAATGGCCTGGCTTACCAGTTGGTGTGAAGTTTGATCCATCTGATGGTGAACTCTTAGAACACTTAGCAGCTAAGTGTGGGGTCGGAAACTCACAGCCACACATGTTTATTGATGAGTTCATCCCAACACTTGAGGGGGACAATGGAATTTACTGTGATCATCCTGAAAACCTTCCTGGTAAGTATCTCCCATGCTTCATATTTCTGATTCCATGTGTTCATTTTTACACTAGTGCATCATCTACTTGTGCTGAAAGTTGATATGGACTGAACCAAATCGAACGAATACTTGGAACTTTTTTTCCCTCTTTTTTGGTGTCAAAGGATGCAACTTAATGAGATTAGTTTAGCTGCTCTCTTCTCATTAGATTCGAATATCGATCTGTAGGTTTAGGATTATTAAATTGTGGTTAGGTCATTGTCCCTTGGTTTTGTTTCAGGTGCAACAAAAGATGGAAGCAGCATCCATTTTTTCCACAAAACAATGAATGCATATGCTACTGGTCAGAGGAAGCGCCGCAAGGTTGATAATCAACGTAGTGTGGCTGCAGAGAATATCCGCTGGCACAAAACGGGTAAGACCAAGGCTTTAATAGAAAATGGAATTAAGGGCTGGAAGAAGATCATGGTTCTATACAAAAGTTCGAAGAAAGGTTCCAAACCAGAGAAGATGAACTGGGCGATGCATCAGTATCACCTGGGAGCTGAAGATGATGAGAAAGATGGTGAATATGTGGTGTCGAAGATATTCTACCAACAGCATAAGCAGTCAGAAACGAATGATAACAATGTGGTTGTTGAAGACTCTGACGTCAACGCACTTCAAACTAGTCCCAGGACCCCCGCAACCAATCCTCCAATTCCACCCAGACCAGGGAAATCTGTTTGGTGTGATGATGTTCCTGATGAAGCTATGCTCCCCTCATCTTCCAAGGTATGTGGCAACTTTCATATGTATTATGCTGTGATTTTTATACTGCTGTAAATAGAAAAGGGAAAATGGAATTTTGAAAATGTTCGTCGGCACATAGACACTCGGTGAAATCCCATAGGCTAGTTTTAAATCCCACCCAAAACAAAAGAAGCCCATTTGCTGATCTTAAGGAAAATAAGATGAAACTCAAGAATTTTTACTTTGATCCCGAAAATCCTTGAGCGTGTTGGATTCTTACTGGAAATCTACTTTGTGGAATAGGAAGTGGAGCTAGTCCAGGAAGCATATCATGTCCCTCAACCTGATACTCGGTTTGAGGACAACATTGGGCAGCCTACCTGGCTGGCAGGCGAATCTCAGGTTGACGATTTAGATAGCTTGAGCGAAACCTTGTTATGCAAGGAGATTTTCGGTTATTCCACTGATCTAAATGGTTCAGCACCGAATCCCATATCTAACACTGACTTTAATAACAATACATACGGGGTGACTGGAAACAGCAGCACATCGTGTGGAATTCATGACCTTGAAAACATTGAACTTGATTCTCCTCCAGATTTCCAGCTAGCTGTAAGCTTCCTGCTTACTCTCTCTTCCTCTGCTTTGTTAGATTTCTATAGAAATATTGTACTAAAAATCACATTCATAATGCAGGATTTGCAGTTTTGTTCCCAAGACGGTTTACTTAATTGGCTCGACAGGTTATGATGACGATGAAAGAGCTTCCGGGAATGACATCGAATTCCCAATTTTGTGCAATCGTAGAATCCATTTAACTGGCCTCTTTTCCCGCATACTCTTCAGTGGCAACGAGGCAACTTCAGCGCTCTTGGAGACACATGGGTTTTCCCGTTGCCCTCTGCAACTTGTCCGAGCTTATGAGGTGCCCTGGCGTGTAGCCATGGAGTTATATATCCGTATCATTCAGCTATCGACTACTGAGATTAGTATTCAGTGCTCAGAATGTTCAACTGAAAATTGGCACCGATGATTTTATATTCCGCCATTCGTGCTTCTCCTAGGTGCCGAAATATGGGTGATCGTTGTATTAAGTATTGGCGTTGCGTGCTTGTGGACAAGTGAGACTGTTTTTGTCACCAGTGTATGGTAGATCAAAGCATGTTGTGGTATGCTCATACATTGTTGGTAATAGCAGTCATGTGATGGATTTAGTAATTTGGAACTTATTGCATCTTGACAAATGTTTGCTGTATAATCAATGGTTTGTTTTTATTATTTATTTATTTTTAATAGTAAGATTTTGAGAATAATTTGTATACAACGAGAACATCAAGGTGATGATGTTTTAAAAGGCTAAAATTATTAAGTGTCATCATAAGAAATGTTAAAATACGTGTTTAAGTTAATAATTGTGAGATAATGTCGGTTCTCTTTCATGTAAATTTTTCTCACAAATTACCCCTCTACTTAAAATTCAATGTTATTTTCATAATTAAGAAAATTAGGGAGCAGTGCCAAATTGGTAAATAAGCCGGGCAAAGAGACCCAATTTAGTCAAAACAGACCCCCAAATCCCAAACCCAAAACCTAAAACCCTGAAAAATCTCAGTCGCCATTGAAGTGGGGAAGCAGAAGGGAATGAACAGAGCAAAGCACTCGATTTGCGATTGAGGCCCGTCGCCGTTCGATTGAAGCCATCAATGTTCGCTGCGAGGAAGCTCAACAGGCATTGCTTCAAGTCCGTCTCTTCTCTCCTCCAATTTAATTCCCACAAGTACTCTCTCTCTCTCTCTCTCTCTCTCTCAATTACCCTCTGTTTGGTTGCTTTGAAAGTGGCTGATAGTTGCGTACAATCTAGTCTGATCCTCTGTCTACATGATTTAGATATGAAACATCTATGCTGCGAATTTCTGCTTTTTTTCATTTCATTTAGTGACATTTTCTCAGCAACCAAACAGAATTCTTCTCGTACCTCCGTATCATTTATCTGGTTTTATCCATTTACTCAAGGTGGTTTTCAAGTGGAAAGAGCAAGTCTTTTTTAGTTGGGCGATATCGTATTTGTTATAAAATCGAAAATTTGAATGCTTTGTTTTAGTGCTTATTTGGTTTATCATTTGAATTTGTTTACAGAAATGCCTTGTTGTTAAGAGATGTCTCGGCGAAGGTTTTATCGAGCAATGCAGTTCAGCCAAGTAAACCGAGTGAAGATTGTTACTCTTCTTCATCTAGACCAGCCAATCCCTTCGATGGGTGGTCTAGGTCAATGTCGACATCTAGAGGGAGTAGTAGCATGAGGAGCAAAGTCGCTAAGCGGATGCAAAAGGAGTCTGGTAAGACTCTAAGAGAGGTTCGCAGAGCGAAAAAGCTTCAAAAGAAGCTGATGACTGAAAATGAGAGGCTCATTTACAACCTCAAAAGAGTATGTTTCAACTTCTGCTTTGCAGCTGCTAGCTTCTTAATGATACCCAGTTTCCAACTTCTATCTGTGCTGCTTTGCAGTGGTCACACAAATTGATGAAAGTATTGCTAATAGAGAAATGCAAGTAGGCCTGTGATTGACTGGTTCTCTTCATAAGCTAAATGAAACAATGACGTCTTGCCAAATATCTCAAGCTTTATAGCTGATAGTATTCTGAATACTATTTTGAAAACCTTAGGATGTTAAGATGGGAGCAACACTCTTAGTCGAATTAATAAGCAGCAGAGCTTAGGCTATCTAAGTAAACCAGAGTCAAAATATTCTTACTTTTAGCAAATTTGATGTCAAATGCTTCAGTAGGGATAGTTTTGTAATTACTCGAAAATACTATTTTTACGACGCATGTCTCCTTAAGATTGACTTTCAGGAAGGATTACTTCCACAATTTTGTTTCTTTAAGTAGTATTGAAGTTTTCCCTCCTGTATTCCTGGCCTACAATGTCTTCTTTTTGACGTATTAAATTCATCAGATAACCATTTCGAATATCTGACTTATTCAGGCCAAGAGGAAAGTAGCATTACTACTACAAAAGCTGAAAAAATACGAGCTTCCAGATCTGCCAGCACCCCGTCATGATCCTGAGCTATTAACCCTCGAGCAACTTCAGGCATTGAAGAAGATTGGCTTCAAAAACAAAAATTATGTTCCTGTTGGTGTTCGTGGGGTCTTTGGAGGAGTTGTACAGAATATGCATCTACATTGGAAGTTTCACGAGACTGTACAAGTTTGCTGTGATAACTTCCCCAAAGAAAAGATCAAGGAAATGGCCAGTATGCTTGCAAGACTGAGTGGTGGTATAGTGGTAAACATACATAATACCAAAACAATCATCATGTTTCGCGGAAGAAATTACCGGCAGCCCAAAAATTTAATACCTTTCAATACCCTTACTAAAAGGAAGGTGAGTAAACATAAGTGTGCCCCATTCTAATATTCGATTGTTTTGGGTTGCATTAAACTAAAACAATTTACACTAGACTGTTAACTCTGTATGTTTACATGCAGGCATTATTCAAGGCAAGATTTGAACAAGCCCTTGAATCTCAGAAGCTAAACATAAAGAAGATAGAACAGCAGCTCCGTCGAAGTGGTGTTAATCCTGAGGATCCAGTTGCCATTGCAAGCATCCAAAGAGTAGCTTCCTCATTCTTTAATGCAATTGATCAGAAGGACGGAAGTCCTTATGTCTTCCAAGGAGACAAACCGTTAGTAGCAGAGCCTGATAATAAATTGAAACATCCAGAGCCTCCTGATGAGGAAGAGGAGGAGGAGTTGGACAAATTCATAGCTGAAATTGAGGATGCAGCAGAACGAGAGTGGGCTGCGGAGGAAGCAGCTGAGAAAGAGGAGTTCACCAGAATGAGGTATTGGAACAGAGAAGAGTATGGTGGGAGATACAGGAGATCTGAAGAACCTGAAAATGACGATTCTGATGATGAGATTCCAAGGGCAAGGGACTGGAGGCATACACATGGCAAGCAGAGGCCAAATGGTGATTCCAAAGATGATGATGAGGAATGGCGTTCTAATAATGTTATGGGCGCTAGTGTTCTTGACAGTGATGCTGATGATTCTGATGGAATGCCTGAGAACTTCAAGATATCTCCAAGAGACAGGGGGAGGCAGGATGGGATTGGAAGGGCCAAGAATGATGGACGCTTGTACAGAAATTCCGAAGCTAACAATAGAAAAGCTAATAAGGGAAAGATTATGGTGGACGATGGCACTGAATCAGAAAATGTGATGAGCGATCTCGATACTGCAATGTGGAAATCCGATTCTGAGGAAGAACATGACTCAACAGCATCCAGAGCTGCGAACTATGATTTCCGAAGTAGCAGTGATGAAGAAGAGGACTTAATGTACGTGAAAGGAGGAAAGGAGCGGGTAAATGATTTCGAAAGTAACACTGATTATTCCAACAAAGCTCGTGGCAAGTTTGAGGTATCAAGAGTTGCAAAGGGGAAACATGATAGGATTGGCAGGGGCAACAGTGAATATTTCAAAAGAAATGCTGATGTTAGCACAAGAAGAAAGCCAGTTGAGGAGGATGTCAAGTCCGAGGATATCTCCGGTTATTCTGAAAATGAAATATGGGAATTAAACGCTGCCAGCGACTCGGGAGCATCGAAGGCAGGGAGATTCGATTACAACAGCAGCGACGAAGAGGATTATCAAGTTAGGAGGGAAGAGAAGAGAGGAAATGGTAATAAAAGCACAAGAACAAGAAAAGACTTGGATGAGGATTGGGACAGTGATTAGGGCTTTGCATTTGAAGCCCAAAACCTTTAATGGCTCGGCCTGTTATTGTAAGAAGCCCATTGGAAAGTGGCTGTAGGACCCAAACCATATATTATGTCTACATTTTATTTTTTTAATTATTTAATAAAAATTAAGTTCAGCATACATACATATATATATATATATATATTATTAAAAAGGAAGAATTCCCAAAAGAAATTGATGCGTTTAATAACAATGAAAATGTTTTCTTTTTTTTTTTTAAATTAAAAAAAAAAAAAAAAAAAAAAAAAGGACTAGTTTATGGTTTTGTCACAATGATCTACTCTTTTAAAGGTCGAGAAGATTCGCAGACACGTTTCAACCTCTTTCTGGCCATAACTATGCGATTTACCTGCTCTAGGAATTGACATAAGATGTATCATATGGAATACGGGTCTGAATTTTGTCATCGACGAGTGGGGCATCCTGTGATGATTAATAATAATGAAAATGTTGACTTTGCCAAATGACCAAGTCGAGTCAACCTGCACTAATGATCCACTAACACATTCCGTGGGTCCGGCCACTTTGGAAGATTGATTTAAAGTCGAAAGAACATTTGTAAGTAAGTATTTGGAACTAGGTCCTCGGTCCATGTTTTCAGCGTTGTGTTTAGTTTTTAATCTGCTATTTTCTTCTGTTTTCAGTTCAACAAATACAACCTATACTTTCGAAACGCCAAAGTCTTTGGAATTCTGATCTAGGCAAACTAAGATTAGTTTTTGCTTCAAGCAATACTGGGGAGGGAAAAAGAGAGACGAAATTAGGATTTCATAAAGAATGTGACTAAATTTACTTTGCATAGAAACCTACTAGAAAATTCGACGAATGAGTAAATTTGAATAAGCAAGGAGTGAGATATGTTAAATTCTAAACTAGGATAAAGCCTTCGTGCTATATGTTATTTTTATAAGAGAAAAAAGAAGTTTGGGCTGAGCTATAGCTCAAAGCATGAGTACGTCTTTGTAGGGAATCGAACATAATATCTTAGGTGCAGAGACAAATGTTTTAATCACTTGAGCTACAAATTCTTTACCGCAAAAACGATAGCGTTAGTGGGTTAAATTAATGGTTATTGGAGAGAAGGGAAATTGGTGAGAATCAATCCGTATCAGGATGCATAGGACATCATTACTTTCTGCCACTACAGCAAAGCGCTATATGTCCAAACTCATCTTATGACTGCTCAACCACCATGTGCTCCAATTACCTAAAAGAGATTGTGGGTGTGAGTATTTTGCCCATGCTTGTTTGGGAGGGTAATTTGTGGATAAGACAATTGATTTTTCATTAAAAATGAGAGGAGTCACTGAATAGATTTCTTCCCAGCCTCCACACATGTTCTGGGAACCAACCATTATTAGTGTTTGATATAAATTGCTTGACCAAGGAAGTGAGTTGCCAGCCTCTTTTGTCACACCGGCTAAAACTTAAGCGTAACCGAAGATATATTCACCTCATTCTCTCTCACTCGTCTTCTTACATAATTTCAATAACATGTAAGAATTT